ATTCAGTTAAAAAATTATTTTATCTGAGATTTAAAAAAACACAAAGTGTGTATTTTGCTTTCAAATTTATTATTTTAAAAGAAAAAATAATAATTTTTACCTTTTTCATTTATTTCGATTTTTTATTTCGAAGTATATCGGTACATACCTAATTATTATTTTAATATTTTACCGTTGAAATACGCAAACACGTCAGACTTTTATCTAGAAAGGCGGATTTAAAATGAAAGTACAGCAACTTTCCTTTAATACTTTGTTTCACTCTTTCAAAAATAATGCAACAAAAAATTCAATATCCCTAAAGAATTCTAAACACAACTCGATCGCGGATATAGAAATATATAAGGTCCCTTAAGAAATTGCGTGGGAATTCTATTCTTTATCTGATTCGGACTGGTAGAAAAATATGAATATTTACATTCCTTTCTTACATCTTGCATGCGTTTCTGGACACCCAGGTCGTAGCTTTCGGAGACTTATTGGACAGTTTTTTTGTTGTTCGGTTTTCATGTCGCGAAAGAAATTTTTATCTTCGAACAAAGGAACGAAACTGTTCCTTTTTTTTTCAAGCAACTCTCGTTTCTTCGTTTCTGATTGAAGGAGAAAAAATCATCGACGAATGATTGTAATGGATTTTTGTAACAAGTTGTCTCGTTTGGAAGAGTTTATGCTTCCCAATAGGACCTCAGAGGAGAAAGAGCAGAATTTTAAGAATGGCAAAAGGAAAGGACAGGGCTTTGGTTGAGGATTAAGGTGGTTCCGCAAATCACGTTTAGCAAACCGAAAGCTTTATTCAATCATTATTCTTTGAAAGTAGGTCATATAACTTATGCTTTTGTTCTTAAGAAAAAGTTTTGTTTTAATATACGAGGTAAAAAGTTATGATATATTTATATCACAAAATTTAAGAAAGATTCTGGATCATAAATCGTTGAAGGAATATACATCGCCAATACAATACGTCACCATAATTACGATATTCTAATTACATAACAATACATAGATAACACATTCAAAAAATTTACCATTATTTTCTTGACAAATTATTATAAAATGATTATAGACATTATGTCATTAACTAACAAAAGATTTTTATATAATTTTAAGATAATTAATTAAGATTTACACGAAAAATTATATTTCATAAATCGTTGAAGGAATATATGTCGCCAATACAATACGTATCGATAATTAGGTTATTCTAATTACATAATAATACATAGATAACATATTTAAAACATCTACTATTATTATCTTGTCAAATTATGCTAAAAGTAATATATCATTAAATAACAAACCATTTCTATATATTTTGACGAAAATTACTGATGCTTTAAAGGAAGATTAAAATATTTGTATATACACGATGTTTTAATTAACTAATAGTAAAAAAAAATATATGGTAAAATTAAAACTATTCAACTCAAAATTTATTCAGTTAAAAAAAATTATTTTATCTTAGATTCAAAAAAGGAAAAATGTTTGTATTTTGCTTTCAAAGTTATTACTTTAATAGAAAAAATAATAATTTTTCACTTTTTCATTTATTTCAATTTTTTTAAGTATATCCGTACATATTTAATTAATATTTGTTATTTCATTTTTCAAATACACAAACACACATGTGGATTTCAAATGAAAGTACAGTAACTTTCCTTTGATACTTTGTTTCACTTTTACAAAAATAATGCAAAAAAAAAAATCCAATATCCCTGAAGAAGACTAAACACAGCTCGATCGCGGATATAGAAATATATAAAGTCTCCCAGGAAATTGCGTGGGAATTCAATTCTTTATCAGATTCGGACTGGTAGAAAAATATGAATATTTACATTCCTTTCTGACATCTTGTATGTGTTTCTGGACACCCAGGTCGTAGCTTTCGGTGACTTATTGGACATTTTTTTGGTTGTTCGGTTTTCATCTGTCGCGAAAAACGTTTTTTTTCTCCGAACAAAAGAACGAAACTATTCCTTTTTTTTCAAGCAACTCTCGTTTCTTCGTTTTCCGATTGAAGAAAAAAAAAATCTTCGACGAATGTTTGAAATGGATCTTTGTAAAAAGTTGTGTCGTTTGGATGAGTTTATGCGTCCCAATAGGACCTCAGAGGGGAACGAGCAGAATTTTAAGAACGGCAAAAGGAAAGAACAGGGCTTTGGTTGAGGATTGAGGTGGTTCAGCAAATGACGTTTAGCAAACTGAAAGCTTTATTCAATCATTATTCTTTGAAAGTGGGTCATATAACTTATATTTTGGTTCCTAAGAAAAGAAGTTTTGCTTTCACATATAATTTACAAAGTTATAATATATTTGTATCATAAAATTTAAGAAAACTTGTGGATCATGAATCGTTCAAGGAATATACACTGAAGTGACAAAAGTCATTGGATACCTCTTAATATCGTGTCGGCCCTCCTTTCGCCCGGCGAAGTGCAGCAACTCGACGTGGCATGGACTCAACAAGTCGTTGGAAGTCTTCTGCAGGAATATTGAGCCATGCTGTCTCGATAGACGTCCATAATTGTGAAAGCGTTGATGGTGCAGGATTTTGGGCACGAACAGACCTCTCGATGATGTCCCATAAATGCTCGATGGGATTCATGTCGGGCGATCTAGGTGGCCAGATCATTCGTTGGAATTGTCCAGAATGTTCTTCAAACAAATCGCGAACAGTTGTGGCCCGATCACATGGCGCATTGTCATCCATAAAAATCCCATCTTTGTTTGGGTACATGAAGTCCATGAATGGCTGCAAATGATCTCCAAGTAGCTGAACATAAGCCTTTCCAGTCAATTTTCGGTCCAGCGCACCAGAGAACCAAGTCCATGCCATGAAAAAACAGCCCACGCCATTACGGAGCCACCACCAGCTTGAACAGTGCCTTGCTGACAGTTTGGGTCCATGGCTTCGTGGGGTCTGCGCCACACTTTAACCCTACCATCAGCTCTTACCAACTGAAATCGTGACTGATCGGACCAGGCCAGGGTTTTCCATTCATCTAGGGACCGACCGATATGCTCACGTGCCCACGAGAGTCGCTGCAAGCGATGTCGTTCTGTCAGTAAAGGCACTCGAGTCGGTCTTCTGCTGGAATAGCCCAAGAAAGCCAAATTTCTCCGCACAGTTCTAACAGACAACTCCCTTGTACGTCCCACATTGATTTCTGCGGCTATTTGACGCAGTGTTGCTTGTCTGTTAGAATTTACGACTCTTTGCAGACGTCGCCGGTCTCGCTCGTTAAGTGCAGGCGGTCGACCATAGCGCTGTTCATGGTGGGATGTTATTCCTGAAATTTCATACTCTCGACACACTCTTGACACAGTGGATCTGGGAATGTTGAATTCCCTAACGATTTCCGAAATGGCATGACCCATGCGTCTAGCTCCAACTAACATTCCGCGTTCAAAGTCTGTTAATTCCCGTCGTGCGGTCATCATCACGTCAAAACCTCTTCACATGAATAACTTGAACAGAAATGAAAGCTCTGCGAAAGCACTGCGCATTTATACCTGTTCTACGCGATGCTACTGCCATCTGAAAATTTGTATATTTCTATCCCATGACTTTTGTCACTTCAGTGTATGTCGGCAATACAATACGACACAATAATTACGTTATTCTAATTACCTACCAATACATAGAAAATAATTGTAAATGTTTTAAATATGTTATCTTGACAAATTTTTCTAAAAGTATTATAGATGTTATATCATTAACTATCAAATCAATGCTATATATTTTTCAATGAAGATTTAAATATTGGTATGCATTTGTATATTGTTAGCTAATAATATATATATATATATATATATATATATATATATATATATAATATATGGCAAAGTGAAAATTATTGAACACAAACTTTAATTAATTTAAAAAAAAAAATTACCTGAGATAAAAAAAAAAAAAAAATAAATCAAATAAAATGTGTATTTTGGTTTTAAATTTATTACTTTAAAAGAAAAAATAATAATTTTTACCTTTTTCATTTATTTCGATTTTTATTTTGACGAATATCAGTACATACTTAATAATTATTTTGTATTGCACTTTTGAAATACACAAACGCGTCAGAATTTTATTTAGACAAGCGGATTTAAAATGAAAGTACAGTAACTTTCTTTTTAATACTTTGTTTCACTCCTTCAAAAAATAATGCAACAAAAAAATCCAATATCCCTAAAGAAGGCTAAAACACAGCTCGATCGCGTATATAGAAATATATAAAATCTCCCAGGAAATTGCGTGGGAATTCAATTCTTTATCTGATTCGGACTAGGTAGAAAAATATGAATATTTACATTCCTTTCTGACATCTGGCATGCGTTTCTGGACACCCAAGTCGTAGCTTTCGGAGACTTATTGGACAGTTTTTTTGTTGTTCGGTTTTCATCTGTCGCGAAAAAAGTTTTTATCTTCGAACAAAAGAACGAAACTATTCTTTTTTTTTCAGGCAACTCTCGTTCCTTCGTTTCCGACTGAAGTAAAAAAAAAATCTTCGACGAATGTTTGAAATGGATCTTTGTAAAAAGTTGTCTCGTTTGGAAGAGTTTATGCGTCCCAATTGGACCTTAGAGGGGAGCGAGCAGAATTTTAAGAATGGCAAAAGGAAAGAACAGGGCTTTGGTTGAGGATCGAGGTGGTTCAGCAAATGACGTCTAGCAAACTGAAAGCTTTACTTAATCATTATTCTTTGAAAGTTTGTTGTTGTTGTTGTTGTTTCTTATCCCACTTGGCTGGCCAAGCCCACGAGACCATATGGACTGATGATTGAAGGGGAAGGAAGCAGCTTCTGTTGTGATGGAGCACCCCGTAGGTAGAAGCCTGACTTTTGCTCCGTGACGCTCTTACAGTCATAGGAGACCGGGACCTACGGCTTAAAGTGGATTCCGAACCACTACAAACATCCATGGCACCGCCGGGATTCGAACCCGAAACCTGTGACACCGAGCGCCAGAGCGCTAGACACTCGGCCATTCAGGTCCCAAATTTGTCAACGGCACGCAGTGTTCCCAGGTGGTCACCCACCCAAGTACTGACCGCGCCCAATGATGCTTGACTTCGGTGATCTAACGAGAACCGGTATATTCAGCATGGTACGGCCGTTGGCCTCTTTGAAAGTACGTCATATATTTTTGTTCTTCAGAAAAGTTTTAGTTTCACATACAAGTTATGGTATATTTATATCACAAAATTTTAGAAAGAGTGTGGATCATAGATTGTTGATGGAATATATGAAGAAATTATGTTATTTTAATTACGTAACAACACATAGACAATAATAAAGTGTAATGTGTGTGTAATTAAGGTATAATAATGGGTTATCTCGCCAAATTATTCTAAAAGCATTATAAACATTATATCATTAACTAACAAGCCATTTTTTTATATTTATAAAATTAATTAATAATTTTTTAATTAATTAAGACTTAAATGAAGATTTAAATATGTTTAAAAGCACATGGTTTTTATTGTCTAATAATAAAAAAAAAAATATGGTAAAATGAGATCCCTTCTCTCACCGTAGCATTAAATAACGATAAGTGTTCAATCCATTTTGTTGTGACGTATTCAATTATGAAGATATCTCTTTTAACAACTTTGATCTTGGAAAGATTGCCCAAAATGTCAACTGAAATAACTTCAAATCTTTAGGTTTTTACAGGAGTTTACAACTAACCTGTAGGCTTCTTGTTGAGGATTTATATCTATTGCAATTTATGCAGTCTTCATTATACTCAGTAAAGATTTTTCTCATTCCTATCCAATAATATGTTTTGGTTATTCAGTTGAAAGTTTCTTCAGCTCCATAGTGACCAGCACTGGGAGCATCATGGTGTTCCTGTAGAATTAGTGTTATTTCATGTTCATGGACTATCATCTGAGGTGAAACTGAAAGTGAAGGTCCAGGAACAAAGCGATAAAGAATTCCCCGATTCCTAAGGTAACCTCGATATATAAAGTTTACATAATTTACATTTTTGTCTTCGCTCTCAAAACATTCTAAGATCTTCCTCAATTTCCAATCTTTGAATTGCTCTTCACTAATTCTGTTTGCTTTCCTGGCGGGAAAACAAATTTGGATGGTATGTATTTCACAAGTACCTTCTTGTGCTCACAAACAGCGCTGCTTAATAGTTCTGCAACAGCATTCATCTTGCCCGTGGTGTATTGAATTTTAGTATAATAGGATTGTATTTCTAGAGCCCATTCAGCAAGTCTACTAAGTCTAATGGCTTCTCACCTTAAATTCTCCCGACTTTAAGGTGAGAAGCCAGTACAGCCTAGTACAGCATCCGACCACTAACCAAAGTTTAGTGGTCGGATGCTGTACTAGTTACTTCCGATCCCTGTAAGTATCTATGAAATTTCTTGAGAGCCCTCAGAACAGAGAGAGCCTCCCTTTTCGTTCTGAAATAGTTCGTTCTGCCTGAGATAGCATTCGGCTAGCATATTCGATAGGATCCAACACCTTGAAGTAAAACAGTTCCATGTACATAACTGCTTGTTCCAGTTCCGGAAATATATGATTTTAAGTTTTACACGGGTCTTTTGAAAAAAGGGTGATGTAAAATTAAGCGACTCTCTGATGAGGGTTATTAATTATTATAAATGCACATTAATCTTGTAATACAATTAAATTCGGCGATGTATATATAGAAAACAAATTTTTATTTACATGTGTTTTTAAGAATTATTATTTTTAGTGTCATGTCCCGTAAGAAAATTGAAATCTTAATTAATTATTTTACACTGCAGAATGCACTCTTTTTTTTAATCACTTGTGATCTTCTTTTTATTTCGCATTTGTAAACAAGGAAAATATTGCAAAATCATTATAAATTAACTTATTTAAAATCAGGAAAATGTGTTCAGTGCTTTTCTATAAATTATTTCTAAAAATATTTTATTCATTTTTAAAGGCTTTTAAGGTTTGCATGTGTCTTGAAATACGATGCTGTAGGAATAAGCGACATTTTCACAAGTTATATTTACATATAGTGTAAAATAACCAGATTATAATTAAGGTATACATGGGTAAACGTCAAAAAAACATAAAATTAATTTTGTGCAACGTTAAATTCATCGATAAATATATAGAAAACATATTTTTAGGAATTATTATCTTTTAGTGTCAGGTCATGTAAGAAAATTGGAATCTTAGTCAACTATTTTATACAGTAGAATGCACTCGTCGTTTTATTAATTACTCGTGAATTTTTTTTTTGTTGCATTTATAAAAAAAAGAAAATATTTGATAATCTCTTTATTTAAAACCGGAACAATGTTTTCAATGCTTTACTATAAACTATTCATGTTAATATTTGAACCATTTAACAAAGGGAAATCATTAGAAACTGAAATAGGAAATCGTGCGATCAGGAATAAAAACTAATAAAAACAAGACAGGAAATTAGGTCAATTTTTTATTTAAAATGAAACATAAGTGTAATTAAAATTGTTTAAATGTTATTATTATGTGACATTTTTTATTGATATCTTTTAATAACACAGTAATTCAATTAACTTTTGATTTTATCCTTACAAGTAGAATTTTTTTTTCCTTTTTAAAATTTGCTGAACCTATCCATTTAAAATTTATTATGTTTGATAAAATGTTTGTGAACTGATTAAGTTTTAAAGTTTTAAAGTTTGAAGTAAAAAAAAATAATAATATTTTACAGAATTCTCTTTTATTAAAATAAACTATGTTAAATATATATATATATATTTGATATATATTTATTTTTGAATTGGAATTCAATTATAAAATAGTAATTAACATTAACGGAAAGAAAATATATTGTTTTAAAGAACATCCGTGAATGAAAAAGTTATTTAAAAATGAATAAGATAAAATTTATAAAATAAAAATTTATTTTAAATTGTTTGTCAAATATAACTCTTTTAATAAAAAAATGCTTAAAATAAATTGCAAATAAAATGTCTACCTATTGAAAATTCTAACAAATAAAATATTACACAATCGAAAGAATGCTAATATCAGTAACGTCTACTACAAAATATTGAAAAAAAAAAAACAATTTTTCACATCTTTCATACGAAATATCTCCAGGGAAACCATCAAATACTTTTCAGAGACGTAGCACACAAACTGTATTCAAAAGATTGCTTCCCACATAAGTTCTGCGTCCTGTTAAGTCCCTTTACAAGATAGACAATTTTCCTATATTTTAAAATACATTACGGATGCATTCAAATTTGCCAGCAGTTATTATTTAAGATATGATCCGGGTTTCAAACTTACTCTTTGAGGTCTCGTAGACATCTCTCGACATATCTTTAAAAATGAATTTTCTGTCGGTAGTTTCTCAACATGAAAATATAGGGAGAAAGGGCCTTTATGCATGTATTTTGCATTGCCTTTATATACTGGATTTTTGAAAGGTGGACTCAATGCATTCCACAAAGACGGAAATGGATAAAAGAACTTCCTCCAAGAAAGAATGTGTGGAAGAAAAGAATATCTTCCGTATAATACTTCCGAACTGTGCAAGTGAAAAAAAAATCCTCCTCAGCAAACCTGCGAGGGTTGTATGGAACGAATATTTAACCGTTATATGTGTGCAGTGCATTTATAAGAATGAATGGGCACGTGATTTTCCTCCACAGGAGAACGTCTTGCACAAAAATACTTTGTGCTTTACTCGAAAATTCAGAGCTGAATTCAAAGCGGAGGTGCTTATTGCTTTATTTCTTCTTAAATGTTTCACATTTTTACAAGACATGTGCATATTTCGAATGCTAAAAGCAATTTTATATGAGAAAAGAAATTAGCATGGATAGAAATGTGTTTTAATCTTAAGTAAAACTTAAAGCTAACGTACTATCTTGGTATAATTAAAATTGTAGTTATTAAGATACAAACATCGTGTAAGATCTAAAGATCTCCTGAAACTACGCATTTCTAGGGACTTGCATTTTCCATTATCTATGTGACCACTATGTGTTATAAATTCGTAATACGAATGGTGTAGGAATAAACGACTCAACCATGTGGAAAAAGTTATTATAAATAAACAAGTTATATTACATATAATGTAAAATAATCAGCTAATTATAATTAAACACCAAAATAGACTGAACATTAATTTTGTACAACTTTAAATTCAGCGATAAATATATACAAAGCATATTTTTATTTATAGTTGTTTTTATGAATTATTATCTTTTAGTGCTATGTCATGTAAGAAAATTAAAATCTTAGTCAAGTATATTATATTGTAGAATACACTCGTTTTTTTTATTAATTACACGTGATCATTTTCTTACGTTGCATTTATAAACACTAGAAATCTTTCATAATCCTTGCATTTAAAGGAGGGACAATGTTTTCAGTGCTTTTCTAGAAATTATTCATGTTAATAATTGAATATTTTTAAACAAAGAGAAATCATTATAAACTGAAATAGGATATTGTGCTACTAGGAACAAAAGCAAATAAAAATAAAATATGAAAATTAGTTAATTTTCTATTTAAAATGAAACATAACAACATTTAAAGAAATTTAATTACAGTTATTTTAAAAACTCATTGAATTTCAATTGATATATTTTAATCACACTGTAATTTAATTTAATTTTGATTTTATCAAAATCAGTAATTTTTTTCCATTTTTAAAATTTGCTGATTGTGAACTGATTAAATTCTAGAATTTGAATTAAAAAAATAATAAAATTTTACAGAGCTCTCGCTTTTTTTTTAAATAACCTATCTTGAATATTCATTTACTTTTGAAATACAATTTTAAAATATTAACTACACCTGTACAATTAATTTATTATTATAATTTTAATATAATAACGGAAAGTAAATATATTGTTTTAAAGATCTTTTGCAAATGAAAAATTTACTTAAATATGAATAAGATAAAATTTATAAAATTAACAATTTATCTTAAAAAATTATGTTTGTCAAAAATAAATCTTTTTATACAAGTTGCTTAAAATAAATTGCAAATAATATGCATAGATATTGAAAACTGTAACAAATAAAATATAGCACAATTGAAAGGATGATAATATCAGCAGCGTCTACTACCCAATATTTAAAAAAGAAAACAATTTTTCACATCTTTCATTCGA